GGTCCCTGATATAGACACTGCGTAGCGGGAGTGCTGCAAGACCCGATTGCATAACACCCAAACTTCTCAGGTGGGCCACAGGGCCCATCAGCTCAACTCTTCCTCTGGGCTTGGACTACTGGGAGCTCAGAGCAGGCAGGACCATGCCCTTGGCAAGAAGCCCATTCTAACATGGGAGCTTGTGATAGTTCATGAGCAGGTTGGTCCAGCTCTGAGTTTAGTGTAGCTCAGAAGCTTGTTCTAGATTTTGAAGCTTAGTCCAGTCCCAGACCCATTTTGGTTCAGAAGCTTAGTCTGGGCTAAGGAAACGTGCACGACATTTCCCTAAGTAGACAAATTCCCACTTCTCTGGTCTGCACCCTGGGATAAAAACACTGATCTTAAAACCACCAAGTATTTGTCTAGACATCAGTACTTGACTGAGAGACCTCAAAAAAATACCTGGGGGCAACAAGGTGTGGTGCCAGTGATTCAGCTGGCAGGCATCTTCCCTCTGAGCCAGCACCAACCTAACAAGCAGAGCCGTGGTATCCGCAGAGCCGGTGGCGGGGCCCGTGCTGGAATCTCAGTGTAAGGAGTTGGATGGGTCCCCACCTACCTGCTTGAGGTAACAGATTTTTCAATGGAAAAAACATTGACCGAAAAACAAGCTGTAACAAGCCAGCGGCTGTCACATGGTGCAGTGCACTGGTATTAAACCATCTCCATGCTTCCCTTCTAGGGGCTGCACTTCAGGGACAGTACATTAGCTTAGCTGTCTTAGGCAAGAGCTTGAACATCTGTAGGGATCACAGAGAAACAAGGTGATGCATAAACAACATTGCTTTGTTTCAGGAGGGAAGAAGCAGGCAAGGAGTGAGGGGAAACCAGAGAGTTCCTTTTAAATGGTAGAGTTTTACAGCCTTCTATCCCATACCCTTCCCACTATTATCCCAGCTACTTGTCCAGTGATACCGTAGAGCAGATATGCTAATTAACAGAGTTGAAGGAATTTGGTTTTCATCAGATTAAAAACTCCTCAAACAAGCATAAGGGGGAGGCCAAAAACCTCCACAGAAACTCTACGAAGGAGAAAATCCAAAAAAAGCGAATGAGGTTTCTCCAAATAATTACCTTTGGAGAGTACCTCAAACCTGCCCTGCCCTTCCTCCACATGACTCCTGCAAAGAAGCATAACAAATGGAAAACCAAGTAGGAGCTGAGATGGACAACTGGTGCCTAGGCTTTGGGCTCTGTCCTTGTGACACAAAATACTGTCAGATGGCAGTTTAGAACACCCCTCTCTCTGTAAACCTAGTTCATCTATTCACCAAGGCCTCCCCAAGATCTCCAGTACCCTTTCTAGCTGTCCCCAAATGCCCCACTTGCCCTGGATAAAATGGCATTATCTCATGAATCAGGGAATGCATCTCCCGTTGCCAGATGAGATACCTTCCTCCCTACATTTCACAGGAAAGCCAAATCTGAATAACTGTTGCTAACCTAGTCTGAATTGGAACTTAGTTTGTGATTTACAGGTTAAAAAGTTTCTCTGTCTGCATACTGTCTCAAGATCAGAAATACTCTGCCCTTTTCATCTGTAAATCTCAAAGCACTGAAGAAAAAGGAGTATTATCGTTCCTATGTTACAGAGATAGGAAGGGATTTGCCCAAGCTAACGGAGCAAGTCAGTGGCTGACCCTAGAATGGAACCCTAGTCTCCTGGCTGCTAGCCCCATGCTTTTCCTCTAGACCACACTGCCTCAACTAGAATTGAAATATTTCATATCCTATTCATCTCCTGAACCAGCATGTCCACCTCATTCCACTTAGCGTCGAAACAAGTATTTATGATACTAATGGCACTTTCTGGGTAATACTGACCGAGGACATGAGAGCACAAGCAGTGAGGAGAGACGGAAGCTGTGTGTCAGATCTCTCCGTGTTCATCAGTGTGAGAAACTCCAACACAAACCGCCCCCCCAAAGAACCCTCCCCCTTATAAACCAATGCTGCATAAGAGGGGACTGGACTTAAGACATCCTGAAATACTGGAAACAGTATTAAAATTCCAAGCAGTCTCTCACTCCACCCTCACCAGAAAGCACCGGATACATGGCAGGGGAGGTCTCACAGGCTCGTTATGCTGCTGACTAACGAGGTCTCAGGATCACATTTTCCAGCTCCGCCACTTGCTGCTGAAGTGGCTCTTGGGCAACCCAAGTGGCCAATAACATGATTTAAAAGGAAAACGGCAAAGAGGCAGCATAAGGAGGATTGTGCGCGAGAAGCTTCGTGCACTCTCTCACCCAGGCAGCATCTGGAGAGGATTTTCTCCAGCAGACAGGGAAGAACTCGATTACATCCAGTTAACTGTGCTCTAAACTGATTATGCATGTGCCAGGCTAATGGATTACATTAGCAAGAGGAAAAATAACATCCAATCAATCTCAATTTACTGCAGACCACACCAAGGGCTGAGAGAAGAAGAGAAGAGAAACTGGTCCATGAACTGCCCCCACTCCCACTTCACCCGTCAGCTATCAAAGCTCCATGGCACTAAAACCACAAGAAAGAATGGAAACTCTGAGCTGAGGACCTCAGTGAGCAACTCTATCTACAGCCAAGTTCTTCCATGACAACGAACACCGAATCCATCGATGTGCTGGGCTAAGACTCTCTGGGAATCTCTCCTTTCATTGGATAGCACAATGGTAACTAAGTAAGAAGAGCAACATGACTTATATGGATTTACAATGAAAGTGGTTGGGGTACCAATGCAATGAATTCCATACAAGCATTTCATGGAATGTGTGACTACACTAGCAGACATTTATACCCATGCTAAACTGGTTGGTGCTCGTGTTCAGTATTTTGACACCAAGGTAGTTCCTGCTCTCTCTTGCTTGGATGTTTCACTGGAACTCTCACCTCAAAGACAAACGAGATTTTAAAATCATGACTAAGTGCTCAGGGCTGAAACTACCTAGTGTCCCTGAGAATGAATGAATTCCTTCACCTGTCTGGGGAAGGCATTTCACAAGCCTCCAATATATTGCTTTAGAAAACCAGTCCCTGCACCATGTATCCTTTTCCTGTTTTGGCAGGAAACAAGGAGGGAAGGAGAAAGCCAGTGCCCTCAATCTGCTTTCTCACCAGGGAGCACAACAGAGACAGAGAGTTTGAACCAAGAATTTTTGCAGCCTGTCACCACTGTCTTGTCCCCAGATAACAAAAAAGTCAAATCTAAAGACTATTATAAGTTGAAATCATGATGCTTGCTTGGTACATGAGTTTTAATTCTGAAGACAGACTGCACTATTCAGATGTCCTCTCCTAGCCCCTGTGAGATTTCTCCTGCTCCTACTTTCACCCCAAATTCCCTCTCGTACATATCCCAGTTTCTTTGACTTTACTAAAATAGGATACTTTGAACTTCGTCATCTTCAGAGCGAAGCTGTGCCATGCCTCATTAGTTCCACTGACACCGATAACAGTGATGTTCAGAGAAGCCCGGTCACATCCACTGGGCCTCCAGCACTAGGAGCTTCCTCAGGTTTAACAGTATTTCCCTCTTAATACTAGCTGAGTCTCCAGCTGCTCTAGACTAGGCTAAACTGTTCTGCCCTCCTACCACTTTCCCCTCTCCTCCTGAAATTGCTGGAGTAATTAATTTCCTGGAACAACTCCCTATGTTAAAAACCACACATTTCCTCCTTAGTGTGGGGGACTGACCCAGGGAGAGATGCAAAGTTTTGAACTCACCTGATATGGGAGAGTTACACAGACAGCAAAGAGGCACGGCAGGGTTAGGAAATGAGAGAAATGGGGTACAAAACAAGACCGCCTAGTCTAATCCAAAATTGTAGATCCCTTTAGGATTACAGGGAGAGGGAAGGAAAGGAGAAAAGACAGACAGAATACAAAATTGAGCAAAATGAGAAGACAGTGAGAGACAGAGCATGTGTAAGTGAGTAGAAGGTATGCGAAGTGAGGCTGCTTAGATTTATGGCGATTTGTACCTGATTGTTCATACTAAAGCCATTATGGGATGATTAGAGAAAAAGGTGAAGCTTTAAGTCCAGTGAAAATCAATAAAAACGTCTGGAGCAATTCTGCTGCGCGAGTGAAAGGACTATTTACTATATCCGGAGCTCCCATTGGGTTATAGCCTACAGGGTTCGGGGGGGTGGGGAGGCAGAGAAATGAGGCAGGAGAGGAAAAGATGGTTACAGAAGGAAGGGACAGAAAATTGGAGGCAAGAGGAAAAAAAAGACAAAAACCAAGATAGAGTCATGGAGCAACGTGTAACGTGGAAGGCGAGTGGTAAGGAAAGGCTGTGACATATCGTCCGAGGGAAGCTGTCAGTTTGACCATGCCTTCAGTCAACTACATATATACAGCAATAGAATTTGTTCTCGCTCCTTTCCAGCAGGCTCAAGCAGCAGTTCAACAACACATCCCCGGCACTCCCACACACAGCACAAAAGAAACAGGGCACTGCCCGCTTCTTTGACACTGCCCACATGCATTCTCCATGCTAGCATGAGCACACTACCCGGAGTTCCTGCTTGGATGGGAGTAGCTTTCAGAAAGTTTTTGGCAAGGATGAGCAACCTGACATAAGGCAAACCCTAGCTAGCAGAATCCCTTCCGAGATTAGCAGTGAGAAACAGCTTGTTGGAATGCAATTTTCAGACAGGACTGATGATTTTGGATGTGCAATGTGACACATCTTAAAGGGATCTAATTTTCACAGGACAGGTGCTCAGCCCCTCTAAGGCACCTCAAGTTGGGCCCCAACAGCCACTATCACTTTTGAAAAGCTTGGCCTAAGGCTTTCGGAGCCCAAAAGAGTTGCTAGCAAAGTGCAAGCTGAGGAGGCGTGTGATCCCAGTGAGTCTGGGGCCAAGCCCTGCGGAGGTGCTAGACTGAATGGGTTTAAAATCCCACTCTCACGGTAGCTCAGAACTGACAGCTGGGTCCCCCACAAGGAAGACAAAAGAGCAATCAAGCCTCACCTTGTACAGCTTCAGGCTGGCCTCATGCCTGGAGTTAACTGTGTGCAGACGCAGCTTCTCCAGACTGTTGGTGTAGTAGTCACAGGCATTGCACTTCAGATGCACGGGGTTCCCGATGGCCACACACTTCAGCCTCCACTCGTTGGCTTTGCCACCCTCCTTGATGTGCGCTACTAGCTGGTACTTCTGCACGTGCTTATCCGTTTTGCAGTGGAGCTGGAAGTTTGCCTTGAGCTGTGTGTTGTAACGGCACAGCTTGCACTGGTACGAGTCCCCCATCACGGCCTTCCACTCATCCTCCGGGAGGCTGCGCTCCACATTCATGTGCAGCCCCAGCATGTCCAGGTTGTCTGTAGTGAACTTGTTGCACACAGCACACTGGAAGAGCTTCAGTGATGGGTCGTTCGTTTGCGTGAAGCTCTCACCCAGGTTCATTAACTCCTCGGACACCAGCTGCCCGCCCCCCAGCCGCATGTCCAGGGGGATCTCTCCACCCACTGCAGAAAGGAGAGAGAAAAATACAAGTCAGAAAAGCTGCATCCTGTACCTCCCATGACAGAAGCAGAGCAGAACATTCACTCCCCTGGCATGCCCCCATAATATGCCCACCAGGTCCTGGGTCAGAAGCAAAACACAGCAGAATTTCTCACCCCTTCCCATGCCTGTGCACTGCTGGTATGCCAGGCACAAAAGAGTCAGCTGTCTGGTTCTACAGCCATTGGGCCCGGAGGACAACAGTCCCTTGTTGCCCAGCCCAGGACCTGCTGACCACAGGGCCAGGAGCACAACAGGTCCTCGCCAGCCAGAGAGAAAATAAATGTGAATCCCAACAGATTTTAGGAGGGGTAAAGTCTTCACTTTGCTGCTCTGTGAAAAACTATATGACACTCTCCCACTTGCTGGCTCTTCCACCTATGTGGTTACCTCTGAGGAATTAAACCTTTCTCTCCAGGCAGGCAAGGACACAAGGAAGAGACAAGAAAGGTCACGCATAGGACATCCAAACCCAACCCCTGCTGAATAAGAGACTCTTTGGCCATGACGCACAGCAGTGTGATTAGGAAGTTATGTTGCAGCAGCACCAACTAGACAGCTGCAGCTCCCTAAAAGTGCCATGCTCTCAGCAGTAAGCCTCAGCACTTGTCTGAAACAAAAATTCAGAATGGTAGATACGCTCAAGGAAAGTCCTGGCCAGGGGGAGATCTTATGGCCGAGGAAAGGACAACAGCTAATAACTGGGGAAGTACAAGTATGCGTGTGTGTGTCAGGGAAAAAGTCAGCAGGAAGCATGCTTTCTCTCTCGCTCTGTCATATCCCCGCTCTTCAAATTATCACTGACCCAGCTAAACCAAGAGCTGACCTCCATTCACTTATAGTAAATTAATACAGCAACCTCTTATTTATATGGTTAGAAAGGCTTGAGGACGTGGAAGGAGGGAAGACTCCTCTCCATTACCCAGGATCTCATGCCGAAGCAAATAGCCCAACCACCAGCCTCCATGGGGGAGCTCTGCTTATCTTTCCCCCCACCACACTTCAGCTAGTTTTGGTTTGATTTTTTTCCCCCTTCAACAATTAAGCCTGCCTGCATCCCAACTCGGTTTAAGGGGTTATTTAAGCCTTCAAGTCTATAGCTAATCAAAAAAGGGAGATTTTATTCCTTAATGGTTTTCCTTTCTATGCTTTCAGTCATTTGCTGAGGAACAGCCAGGATCAGGAGCTGTCTGAATTTGCTGAGCAGGTGTGCAACCTGTGCAGAATCCAGAAATCTGCACAAACAAGTGCTTCTGGATGGTTGAGGTTAGCCTCCAGTGCAGCGTGTGTGTTGCCTCTCTTCCCTGCAGAGATGCACGGCCATGATGATGGTTATGTCTCTAGTCAGGGAAGAGCAATGAAGCCTTCACTTCCGTCTGGTTGCAAGGCACAGGTGTCCCACGCCCATGAGCACACACAGAGATAGGAGAAAAGGCTAAACAGGGAAAAGTCCAGCTTGCTTGCACACGCACTCCTTTCCATGTGCCAGGGCTCACAGGGATTAGGGGCCTTTCCTCTGTCTAGGTGCCTTTTTCATCCCCACCACTGTACTGTCTGATCATCTACTCCCTCTCCTGCCAGGGCAGTATTGTGCACCCAAGGACACTTGCTAGTGCAGAATCCACTCATTTTTAGTGCCCCAAACAACAAGGCTTTCTTTACTTCCCTTGGGAGACTTTTCCACAGCCTACCTCCGCCATCCCCAGTCAGGCCATTTTTCCTGACATGCAACCTAGCCCCTCTCTTCTGAGCTAGTCCATCCCAACCACCTCCACAATGAGGAATGCTGAATGGAAATGGAGTCCACGGAATAGCTCATGTTCTACTCAAACCTACAAGCCACAGGCAGGTCTGGGATTCAATGGCAAAGCACCTCCTACCTGCCAAAACAATGAATATGTTTATATGCAGCAAATAAAAAAGGGACAGATGACTAAGGAAGTGAGGGGGAAGAGCTTAAAAGGCATCCATGCAGAACAAAGCCACTCTAATAGACCCAAAGTAAAAGATTTATCCTAACAGCTAGAATTGTGTCCAGTGCTTATTGGCAAGGGCAGGGACTCTGCCCCACAACTCCTAGCTCAAGATTTGTAGCCATGATTCCTAATGCCATAAAGCACACAAGTCACAAATCGCTTCCCGAACGAGCTTAGACACACTCAAGATGCTTGTATTCAGCTGGAGTCACTCAAGAGTAAGACACCAGTAGGTTACTCCACTTCCTCTCAGGAGCACTTCCCGACAGCTTAAGGTAGACAGGGCTGGGGACTTTAACAGGGGTATGTCTCAGGAAACCCTAAACATGTTGACTCCCCATAAAGTTGACAATGTCAACAAGCTACATTATAAAAGAGTACTTGTGGCACCTTAGAGACTAACCAATTTATTTGAGCATGAGCTTTCGTGAGCTACAGCTCACTTCATCAGATGTTTACCGTGGAAACTGCAGCAGACTTTATATACACACAGAGAATATGAAACAATACCTCCTCCCACCCCACTGTCCTGCTGGTAATAGCTTATCTAAAGTGATCAACAGGTGGGCCATTTCCAGCACAAATCCAGGTTTTCTCACCCTCCACCCCCCACACAAATTCACTCTCCTGCTGGTGCTAGCCCATCCAAAGTGACAACTCTTTACATAGTCAAGTCAGGCTATTTCCTGCATAGATCCAGGTTTTCTCACATCCCCCCCACCCCCATACACACACAAACTCACTCTCCTGCTGGTAATAGCTCATCTAAACTGACCACTCTCCAAGTTTAAATCCAAGTTAAACCAGAACATCGGGGGGGAGGGGGTAGGAAAAAACAAGAGGAAACAGGCTACCTTGCATAATGACTTAGCCACTCCCAGTCTCTATTTAAGCCTAAATTAATAGTATCCAATTTGCAAATGAATTCCAATTCAGCAGTTTCTCGCTGGAGTCTGGATTTGAAGTTTTTTTGTTTTAAGATAGCGACCTTCATGTCTGTGATTGCGTGACCAGAGAGATTGAAGTGTTCTCCGACTGGTTTATGAATGTTATAATTCTTGACATCTGATTTGTGTCCATTTATTCTTTTACGTAGAGACTGTCCAGTTTGACCAATGTACATGGCAGAGGGGCATTGCTGGCACATGATGGCATATATCACATTGGTGGATGTGCAGGTGAACGAGCCTCTGATAGTGTGGCTGATGTTATTAGGCCCTGTGATGGTGTCCCCTGAATAGATATGTGGGCACAATTGGCAACGGGCTTTGTTGCAAGGATAAGTTCCTGGGTTAGTGGTTCTGTTGTGTGGTATGTGGTTGTTGGTGAGTATTTGCTTCAGGTTGCGGGGCTGTCTGTAGGCAAGGACTGGCCTGTCTCCCAAGACTTGTGAGAGTGTTGGGTCATCCTTTAGGATAGGTTGTAGATCCTTAATAATGCGTTGGAGGGGTTTTAGTTGGGGGACTGAAGGTGACCGCTAGTGGCGTTCTGTTATTTTCTTTGTTAGGCCTGTCCTGTAGTAGGTAACTTCTGGGAACTCTTCTGGCTCTATCAATCTGTTTCTTTACTTCTGCAGGTGGGTATTGTAGTTGTAAGAAAGCTTGACAGAGATCTTGTAGGTGTTTGTCTCTGTCTGAGGGGTTGGAGCAAATGCGGTTGTATCGCAGAGCTTGGCTGTAGACGATGGATCGTGTGGTGTGGTCAGGGTGAAAGCTGGAGGCATGCAGGTAGGAATAGCGGTCAGTAGGTTTCCGGTATAGGGTGGTGTTTATGTGGCCATTGTTTATTAGCACTGTAGTGTCCAGGAAGTGGATCTCTTGTGTGGACTGGACCAGGCTGAGGTTGGTGGTGGGATGGAAATTGTTGAAATCATGGTGGAATTCCTCAAGGGCTTCTTTTCCATGGGTCCAGATGATGAAGATGTCATCAATATAGCGCAAGTAGAGTAGGGGCTTTAGGGGACGAGAGCTGAGGAAGCGTTGTTCTAAATCAGCCATAAAAATGTTGGCATACTGTGGGGCCATGCGCGTACCCATAGCAGTGCCGCTGATCTGAAGGTATACATTGTCCCCAAATGTGAAATAGTTATGGGTGAGGACAAAGTCACAAAGTTCAGCCACCAGGTTAGCCGTGACATTATCGGGGATAGTGTTCTTGACGGCTTGTAGTCCATCTTTGTGTGGAATGTTGGTGTAGAGGGCTTCTATATCCATAGTGGCCAGGATGGTGTTATCAGGAAGATCACCGATGGATTGAAGTTTCCTCAGGAAGTCAGTGGTGTCTCGAAGGTAGCTGGGAGTGCTGGTAGCGTAGGGCCTGAGGAGGGAGTCTACATAGCCAGACAATCCTGCTGTCAGGGTGCCAATGCCTGTCATTATGCAAGGTAGCCTGTTTCCTCTTGTTTTTTCCTACCCCCTCCCCCCCGATGTTCTGGTTTAACTTGGATTTAAACTTGGAGAGTGGTCAGTTTAGATGAGCTATTACCAGCAGGAGAGTGAGTTTGTGTGTGTATGGGGGTGGGGGGGATGTGAGAAAACCTGGATCTATGCAGGAAATAGCCTGACTTGACTATGTAAAGAGTTGTCACTTTGGATGGGCTAGCACCAGCAGGAGAGTGAATTTGTGTGGGGGGTGGAGGGTGAGAAAACCTGGATTTGTGCTGGAAATGGCCCACCTGTTGATCACTTTAGATAAGCTATTACCAGCAGGACAGTGGGGTGGGAGGAGGTATTGTTTCATATTCTCTGTGTGTATATAAAGTCTGCTGCAGTTTCCACGGTAAACATCTGATGAAGTGAGCTGTAGCTCACGAAAGCTCATGCTCAAATAAATTGGTTAGTCTCTAAGGTGCCACAAGTACTCCTTTTCTTGTTGCGAATACAGACTAACACGGCTGTTCCTCTGAAACCTATAAAAGAGTAGAAATTCTTTCTACTGGCAACCCGGAATGGTTAAAAAAAAAAGTCACAGCAAAGACAAAACCATTGCCACCTTCCTCAAAGAGGCAAGTTGGGACAACAGATATGTGGAAGAAAATTGTAGTTACTTTTGTTTGTAGAGCCTTCCATTCCTCAGTTTTCCTTTTCAATGTTCTGTGTTCTTTCCCCCTCTCAAACAAACAGATCTTTCGAAAATTTAAGATCATCAAGCCCCCCCTGTGCGGCAATGAGTTATGTTGCTACAGGAGTATAGGAAAAAGATGCTGGAGTCTTGGGCACCCAAAACATAGTGCCTTAGGAGTCACGGTCTTAGACCAAGCTAGCCTGTTCAGTCTCAATGGATGAATAAGATTACAAATGACAGAGTTCAGGAAAAAGAGGTCAGGTCAGAGGAATGTGGGTGCTCTCCTTGTATATGTAATTTCTGAAAGCAGTGTCAAATAATTGTGGTTATAGTGAACTGGGGTATAGAGAAAGGGTTATTTCAGCTGGTAGATGCTACAGACCCTTGCCAGAGCTGATCTGGTAGAGTTCTATTATGCTTCACTGTTTCATATTGGATTGGCAATAGGAAGCTCAAATACACACAGATGTATGCACACCGTGTGGACTATAGCAAGGATTCGGGTAGGTGAAGATACAGTTGTGTCCTTTAACTGACTATAGCAGCATATCAGACTTCCAAGAATAGATTTAGCCCATCATTCCAAATTCTAACTGCACTCTGAGGCAGTAAATTCCTTGGGGCAGGGACTGTGTCTTTACTGACGTCTTCTACAGCACCAATTGTCATGTCAACATGCACGCATGCATAATAAAGTCTTGTTTCCAGGTAATAAAGTACCGTTAATATGCCTGTTCAGAGAACATGCTGTGCGGACGACAAACCCCCTTCAAAATAAAGAGATCACCTCCCTTCCCTACACCAGCCAACCTTGGTCCAACCCTTCCTAGCCTAACAACTCTCGGTGGTCAAGCTTTGAGTTTGAGATCTCAAACCAGCACCCACTGCAACCGTCCCTACTCCCCTTCACCAAGCAAATATCACTCACTCTAGAAGCCTCTATCACGACTGTCAATCACATTTATCCTGACCTACCAATTATCAATACATTTCACTTCTCCAGATCCATATCCCCATAACTAACATCTATCCTCACTAATACAATGTAACTGCCAAGCACCTGACCTCCCGCTTTCTCATTAAGCACCCCCCTTCAATAGTATGCTTCACGCTCTCCAAACTAAGGAGGGAGTATAAGGTACCCTTGGTGCAGGCACTGGAGAACCCTTAACAATCCAATCAGCGATGTTCACCCATTGCATCCTCTCTCAGTGGCTTCACTATTCAATTCATCCACAGAGTTTCCTGAAGTTCACAAGAAATACATAGGAACACAGGAGAGTGCCAAGAATTTCTGAAGATGAGAAAAAATTAGGGTGAGAAGGGAGAAGGGTCTCTATCCCTTTTGTGATTCACCGAACTATGTATGTATTCCATGGAGCGCTACAGGTATTTCAGAATAGGATTGGGGAAAACAGATTGGGATGGACAGCACCTCATCCACCCACAGGGCCTTACGGCAAAAAGAAAATCCCTCTCCCCCCCGCACAGAAATGACAGCAGCAAAAACAGGGAAACACTTCAACCTCACCTAGAGACGGAGCCACGGTTGCCATAGGGCTGGTGGGATCGAGCTGGTATCCACCCATCCTGAACGGGGCATCGGAGGAAGTGCTGTCCATCTTCAGGCTGGGCAGACTCACGTTGTGTGCCAGATAGTACTGGTACAGTTCGGCCTCGGCCGGGGAGGGCAGGCTGCCAAGGCCCAAATGCCGGCTGTGCTGGATTTGGGTCATATTCTGCTGAAGCAGCATCATATTGTGCATGTGCTTCTCACTGGTCATGTGAATGCGAAGGTTCCTAGCTACGTTGGTTTCGTAGTCACACACCTCACACCGCCAGGTGGGTTTGGTTTTTGGTTTGGTGGGCGAGGGGGCCCCACAGGTGCTACCAATGTTTGCTGCCGCGGCTGCTGCCGCGGCCGCAGCCGCCGCCGCTGCCCCAGCCGTGTGACTGAAGACCTGCTCTCCCCCTCCATTCTGCAGGGTTTGCATGTTGTTGAGATGCTTGTCGGACTGCATATGAATACTGAGGTTGCCTTTGGTAGTAGTGGAGTAGTTACAGACCTCGCAACGAAAAGGCTTGTAACCACAAGTGTAGCTCTCGCCCCGTGCCAACCGGGGGTGTGGCTGCCCACTCTTGCAGTACACGCACGAGCCACCTGGCTCGGGGTGCTTCTCCTTCATGTGTGCCTCAAGTGTCTGCTGGTATTTGTAGTGCCAATTGCACTTGGGACACTTGAGTGTCTTACACGAGTTGCGAGAATGCATCATGGTCATGTGGCCACCTAGTGACCGTGAGGAGCCCAGGACTGTGTCACACTTTGGGCACTCCACACCACTCCCCGAGGGGCACTCCCCACCCCCAAGCTCACAGAGGGGACCAGTGTGCTGGTGATGGGAGATGTAGCTCCCATCCTCGCCCTCTGCACTCTCATTTGGTTCTGGTGCTGTGGCATTGTCTTTATTGGCACTTTCATCGACGAAGTCCAACCTCCTGCTGCCCTCTGCCACGCTGGCTCCACCGCCCTCATTGTTAAAGCTTAAACGACTCCTCCTGTTTGCACCATCAAAGACAAAGGAAGAAGCAGAATTAGAAATAGAAGAAGCTGTGCCCCTTGACAGGGTCTGGAGCACGTTAGGCATTAAGGGAGAGTTAGAAATGCTTTGGTTTGAGAGAGCAGGGTCCTTTTTGCTGCTGCTACCTGCCACAGCCCCAGACTCTTCATGGGGCCCATCTTCCAATTCATCCTCCAACTCGCTTGGAAACAGTCCTTTGCAACCCTCATCGTCGTCGTCTTCTTCCTCCTCCTCTTCCTCCTCCTCCTCCTCCACATCCTCCTCTTCTTCGTCCTCCTCCACATCCTCAGCTGGTTCTGCTTTTTCCGAGAGGCTATCCTGGTCACCCAGTTCTTGCTTCTCGCTGTCTGTTGCCCCGGGGTCTTTTCCCTCTGAGGATTTGGTAGGACTGGAAGCCAGCGGGCCCAGGGGAACTGAGGTAATTGGGGTTTTCAGAGCTGAGCTGGTCAGCCCACCAAGGTTCAAGAGGGCACCAGGCGCCAAGATGCCTGATGGTGGCTGCTCTGCTCCACTGGCAGTGCCAGCCTGGACAGCCTCTTCCCCTTCCATTCGAATGCCACTGAATTTACCATAAAAGCTGTGTCCAGGGCCTATGAGGTTAGCTGCGGAAACTAAAGGGTGTTGAAAGTTTTTGTTTTTTGGTTCCAGAAAACTTACAAGGGGTTCCTTGTCTTTGCCTATCCCTTGGATGATAGCGGAGATGTTCTTATTGCTAAGAATTTTCCGCTCCTCCTCACTCAGAGTCATTCGATGGTCATGCACTGCATGGGTCACAAATGAGCGGACATACCCAAAGGAGAGCTTGCACAAGAAACACATCAGTATGGGCTTCCTCTTCCCATAGAGCACAAAGCCATCAAATTTGGACAGGTCCACATTGTTGGGAACATCTTTGGATACACAGGAGCTTTTGGCAGAACCATCGCTGTTCAGGTAATCCTTGTTGCTTTTGTGTCGCACATCAAAAACGCGGAAGCTGTGCAAGACGGGGCTGATGCCCGTCAGGGCTGAGGTATTCGGGAAGGACTGGTCTGAGCCCTCAAACCATTTCCCGAAGGATGAGGCTATGTGGAAAGTATTAATGATCTGTGGATACACGGGTGCAGCAGAGGAGGGTTCTCCTGGTTTGCCCCCAGCATTGGGTAGAGAGTTCATAACGAATGAAGGGAGAGCCCCACTGCCACTGGCTCCCCCACTTTGGATCAACTGGTTGACGCTTTCAACAATATACGCGGAGCCATCTGGCTGGTAGACTATTTCTCCAGCAAGGTTCTCCACATCACTCTCCTCGTCCCCCTCCTCACTGGTATCACTCCCACTTTCCTCCCTCAGTGGAAGAGGTGGGCGGGCACTGGGGCAATGGTGCTCCATATAGGTCTGTAAACTGGCAAAGGAGGCCAAGCATTCGTTGCAGCTGACCTCTTTGCTAGTGGACTCAGTGTTGGGGCCAGCTGAGTTGATGCTGTCTGGAATGCGCTCATTAAAGGGGACCCTCAGGCTGTCTAGGGCCCCGTGGTTTTCGGTTGTGGACTGCTCCATGCTACTGGGTTTGTCAGGGAGGTGGGTGCTGTTGAGTTCAGTCCATTGCTGGTGCTGAGGGATGCCACACCCATTGTCCTTCCCAGAGATGACAGGCGAGTCACAGCCTTCCATGGTAAGGCCTGCATGGAGCTTTCATTGCACCCACTACGGCTTGGACCTAAAGGCAAAAAGAGAGGGGGGAGACAGAAAGAAAGAGAAAGGCGAATAAGTTAGAGAAGGCACACACCGCATTTCCACACAGCACAGTCACTATAATGCACACAGTCCATTTCATCCTAGAGCATCCAAAGCCCTAGAGGGGAGATGGCGCCCCACTAATAAGCTCCTGAAATGCAAGACCTAACCCAAGGTAATGAGGATAATGCAAAGGGACTGAAGCCAGGGAGAACAACCGTGTGGGGGGCTGAAAGAGCACTAAAACCAGTTCCTCACTGGAGGAGGAAAAGGTGGACTTGCCCCTCTTTTGCTATTCAGTGATGGAGTTAGAAAAAGTAAGAGTCAGACTGAGGCACTAGGCGTGGCCACGGTGCAGTGACCCCACCGAAGACTAGTAACTGCACTGTTTCTCTAAGAAGCTTAGGATATTTTTAAAAATGATGCAATTTAAACTAGAAAAGCCTTTGGGGTGGAAACAGAATTAAGAAGCTACCATGAAGTAATGTAAGTAACAGCTGCAATATTAAACCTCTATGGAGAATGTGCCACAGAGGCCCTCCCATTCCCTTCACTATCAGGGGAAATAACACACTTTCCCAGTGCACACGTACAGAGCAAGTGACTCCTGAACTTGAATTCTGCCACTTCAAGACACATTCTTCTATTAAAAGTCCTGGTAATAGAGAGAACATTGCTGTACCCTTCACACATCCATCTTTGCCATGGACCACCAAGACCTGGACCAACTCCCAAGGTTCTCAAACTCACGGGACACCGCACTCACAGGGATTTAACTACTTGGATATCTAGGCAGTTAAATTCAGCCAAACACATAGCAGAGAGGATATGAAATTATTTAAGAACGTAGAAACTGCCAAACAAGATCAAATCAAGGGTCCATTTTAACCAGTATCCTGTGTCAGGAGCCAGTATCAGATGCTTCAAAGGAGGCAAGAAACCCCATAGTACACAACCTGCTAATGGGTAAAGTTTCTTTCCAACCCTCATGTGTAAATGGTTGGTTTATGCCCTGAAGCATGAGAGTTTACACCGCTCCTATTTTTTTCTACTGTCTAATATAACTAGATGTCCTCATCAGCTGTAGGTGTCTAATCCTTTTTGAATCCTATTAGGAGCTTGATCTCAGTGATATTCTGTGGCAGTGAGTTCTACAGGTTAATCATACATTATTTAAAACCATTATTTCCCTTTATTGCTTTAAACATATTACCTTATAATTTCATTGGACAGCCTTGTTTTTGCATTATAAGAAAAGGAATAATGGAAAGACTAAATGACCTCTAGACCATGCAGACAGTAAATGATGGGACAAAGAGCAATAGACGGGACTGGAAGATGGTACAGAACATCTTTTCCCCAGACAAATGGATTGATTTAAAACACGCACACACGCTTGATGAAGGACAGGGCAGACGCAATACCTTTGGATGTCTGATTTATACTTCTTTACAAAATGTATTCCTATCAGCTTTGACTGAGAACTGTGACATGAACTGAAAATCGGTCAAAAGAGCCAGCAGAAGCGAAAGTGATGGCTGGTCCCAACTTCTCCCTCAAGTTCATGTCAACTGTCCTTCCCGAAACTGGCAGAAGTCTAATCTCAACATGGCAAAACCAGCTATGGGCAACTCGGCTGTAAGGCTGTAAACAAAGGAAAGGACACACATTGTTTCTCAGGAGAAGAGCCAAACACTGCGCCTCGCACAAAGCATTGCAGCATTTCACAAGAGTTAGCTGTGCTAGCTCTGAGCAAGTCTTACAATCCCTTCACCCCACCATGGCTCCGTTTGAAGCCATTCAACGTTACAGAGCAGTGGGTGTGCTGGAAGGGTATCCGCACATGCATAATGAGTCCTAAGGTCAGCCTACAATGCCCCTGCCCAGAATTTTGTCACACCTACTCCAGGGTTCACTAGAGGTCCCCAGGGCTCTGTTATTAGCCCCTTCTATCTATACCCAACTCTCGTTCAACGTAAGGATGATCGTTAAAGCCATGTTTTTGATGACTCATCTTTACCTTGCTACTTCGGACAAGTCTCCTGTCTGAGCTAAAATCTCTTCCTGTCAGACATCCCTTGTGGATGTCCAGCTAGCAACTCAATTCTACATGGCCAAAACTACATGACCTGCCCGTCCCAACTCCTATCAGACACCACCGCCACCATCCTCCTCATCACTCAGGCTCATAATCTCTCTCTCTCTCTCTAGGCCCACATATTCAAGCTGTGTAAATCCTACCACTTCTTCCTGCTCAACAGCTCTAATGGTCAGCTTTTTCCTCTATCTGTAAAACTCATCCAAGCCCGCAGTATCTCATGTCTTTACTGTTACAGCCATCTCTTTGCTGTTCTTAACAAATGCCATCAAATCTATTCAAAAGCTGCTAGAGAAGTCACCTTCCTGGCTTGTCATTTCAGCCATGTTACCCTACTATACCCCTTTGCATCCTGGCACCGGCCCCATTCCCCATTATACCAAACAAAGTACTTGGTTGGATACTTTTCATTTTATATGCTACTGAGCCATCAACCCCGATCCCTGGGCCAAAGCTGCCAGCCACAATTACCAATTTGACAAATTTTCCAACAAGCATCTTGGTGCTCTCTCCCATGGTGCCGCTTATTCATGGGAGACGCTCCCTGTAAAAACCCACAGTAGCAGATGTTATCCTCTGACTTTCCTTGAAACCCACCTATGACACAATATCTGCAAACACCTGAAGATAGCAATGCAGCTGGTGTCCAGTGGCTGCTGCGTACAACATTAATCCTGTTTCATTATTACCTCATGTTCCCACAAACTGCTGCATCCACCGGTGGTCTCTTGTCTTATAAGCCCTTTGGGGCACAGTGCATCTTTTTGGTACATATATATACACACAGTGCCTAGCACAAGGCCCTGGTCCTGGATCAGAGCCTCTAGGCACGACCACAATGCAAACAGCCACCAACAACTAACAACGGACTGCCAAACAGCGGGAGCTTGTAACAAATCATGACACGCTGGTTTTGGTTATGTACACAGAGGCATCGCCACATGGAGGAGGCAGTAATTCTTCTCTGTACAGCTCTGCTGCAACTGCAACGGACATACAGAAGTCATTGCTAAGCACCTCATTACCACAATGAGCACAGAAACCAGAGCTCAAAAACCTCAGCAGTCATCTAGAACATGTTTAAACCAATGCAGTGATTATTCCTGCAGTGCTACTTAACTGTCCAGGCTAGTTGTGAACGTCCCAAGTATTGAGTTTCCCTGACTTTCCCTGAGAGATTATTTCAAACCCTAATACATCTTCATCAGGAATTCCTGCGATATTCAGCCTAAGCTTTCCATTTCTTAATTTTATACTTTAGTCTTAATTATGCCTCCTTGAGTCAATCTAAGTATTGCATTTATGCCTACATAATTTTACATAATCACATCTGATGAAGTGAGCTGTGGCTCACGAAAGCTCATGCTCAAATAAATTGGTTAGTCTCTAAGGTGCCACAAGTACTCCTTTTCTTTTTGCGAATACAGACTAACACGGCTGTTCCTCTGAAACCTATAATTTTTAAAATGACCTTTCCCCACTAATCATTTCTTACAGCTCCCTAGTCATTTTGGTTGCTATTCTCTGAACTCCCTCCATTTAATCTGTAACTTTCTTCTTCTGAGGTGCCAAAAACCGAACAATACGTCCCGTTTGGTCACACCACTCCAGACCAGTAGAGAGGAATCGGCACCTCACGGATCCATAGAGATGATGCTTTTGTACATACAAGCCAACATTGCACTTGCCTTTTTTGCAGCCCTGTTACTTTACAAACTCCAACAGAATTAGCTGTCCACCACCAACTTTGGGGCTCTTTCAATACAACTAATCTGTAATTTTTTAATTATATGCTTTGAAAATGTAAAATGCTTTATTAACTGCTAACTATCATGATCAGAGTTTATAAATGTATCTGACCCAAGGACTGAACCTAGTAGCTATGGTGAAAGACAGCTGCGTTGCTACATTCTTCCAAAGCTGTATGCCCTGAAATTTAAAGGAATACCGTAAAAAAGAAAAAGCTACCCCCTTCACGAATTCGGCCCCATTGACCATGCACTGTATTTAACTCTAACACCATGAAATACATAACAAATGAACTTTTCATTTAATAAAAATTTTTAAATGTTACTTATGGGGGTTGGTGACATAGAAAAAAAAATATTAGCTACACGTGCAATTTGACAAATTTCACCGACTTGAATGTTTGCCAAGAAACGTCTCACCAGCTACAGAGCTGGCTGAATCCCACAAAAAGTGGTTGTTGAATAAATTACTTGACTATAGCAAAGTTACTTGAGGAATGTGTCACTTGGCAAATTTGCTATACCTGCTCTTTTTTCCTGACTTCGTTCTTCACCCACATTTATTTTTTTTTCCTATAATGGATCATGGTGGATATTTTCCTAATTTGCCATCTATGCTATTTCTTCTTTCCCTTCTCTCTCAATGTGTATTTCCCTCTCCCTAGATAAGTTCTCTTCCTCCTCCAATATATTATCACTTCCACCTCTCTCATTACATATTGTGACAAAGTTCCTCCTCTGCCTTGGTGGGTCCTGCGCTTATTGGTGGCTTTGCTTGTCTCGGAGAATCACAGCAGCCCTCAGTTTGGCCACTTTTGCTAGTGGCTGAAACCTGCCATTCACTCAGCTAACCTCATCACTGGCCAGCATGGGAAAAAGGAAGGAGAACAATTCCCGCAGTCTCTGCTGATCCACCATGTGGGTCAGGGAACAGCCCAGAGACATTCCCCTCTGATGGAATCCACAGTCCAGGTCAACTCCTCCCGTGTCTGACCAGGAGTTGGGAGGTTTGGGGGGGAACCCGGGCCTGCCCTTTACTCCGGGTTCCAGCCCAGGGCCCCGTGGAATGCAGCTGTCTAGAGTGCCTCCTGGAACAGCTGTCCGACAGTTACAACTCCCTGGGCTACTTCCCCATGG